GCTCGTTCTTCATTATTGGAGCGTATCCGAGATCGGCAGTATGATGATCCCCATTTGTGTATCCTTAGAGACACGGTGCAGCACGGAGGTGCCAAGCAGGTTACCTTAGGTGATGATGGAGTTTTGAGACTGCAGGGTCGAGTTTGTGTGCCTAATGTGGATGGACTCCGAGAGTTGATTCTAGAGGAGGCCCATAGCTCCCGGTACTCTATTCATCCGGGCGCCGCGAAGATGTATCAGGATTTGCGGCAGCATTATTGGTGGAGGAGAATGAAGAAGGATATCGTTGCATATGTGGCTCGGTGTTTAAATTGTCAGCAGGTTAAGTACGAGCATCAGAGGCCTGGTGGGTTGTTCCAGAAGATTGAGATTCCTGAGTGGAAGTGGGAGCATATCACTATGGACTTTGTTGTTGGACTCCCACGGACTCAGAAGAAGTTCGATGCAGTGTGGGTTATTGTGGATAGACTTACCAAGTCAGCATATTTCATTCCTATGGCAGTCTCCTATTCTTCCGAGAGGTTAGCTGAGATCTATATCCGGGAGATTGTTCGTCTTCATGGTGTGCCTGATAAGCTAGGATTTTACCATAATTATACCCCTTACGTGCTATTGCTTTTGTCACAATTCACCACAAAATAGTCCCAAAAGGCTTACAAGTTGCGCTTGATTGCAGGTTTGAGCGACAAGACGACACATGTCAAAGATCGGCTCAAAACAGAGTGAAACCTGCCAAGTGTCAAGAACAAGTGAAGTGGGGAACAAGAAGACCTAGCGCGGACCGCACTGATTTGCCACGCGGCCGCGCTAGGAGATTCAGAGGGGTAAATTTTGAGGTGCAAGCCACGCGGCCGCGCTCCATTTCTGCGCGGTCCACGCAAAGGAAGTTCAGAAGGCTTAAATCCCACGCGGCCGCGCTACATATCAGTGCGGTCCGCGTGAAGGAGATTCAGAGACATGGAATTTTGGCCAAGACAAGCTATGCGGCCGCGCCCCATTCCTGCGCGGTCCGCGCCAACCCTCCGCCGCGGCTGCGCTACATTTGTGCGCAGTCCGCGGCCCCCAATTTCAGAGATAAGTTTTTAGAGTTCAATGTGCCTAACGCGGCCGCGCGACCTTTTTGCGCGGTCCGCGCTGACCCCGCATGGGTATTTTTGTCTAGAATTTCCAGCTCGGTATAAATAGATCTTTTTACCATTTTTAGGTCAAGTTTTAGATTCTGAACAAGAGCTGCGCTCGTGAGAACTATTGTGTAGCCTATTTTGGCAATTTTCCTCTTCAATATCATAGTTTTTAATTAGTTATCAATCATTATGTTATTTCTATTTCTACTGTTTCTTCTTTAATTATGTCTAGCTAAACCCATTAGCTAGGGTTGTGGCTCAACCCTAGTGTGGGTAGTTAATGGGTGTTGCATTCTAGGGTGAGATTGAGATTGGGTATTTGTTATTTGGGTTGATTTTGTGTTTCAATCTAGAATTTGTGGTTGCAAACATGAATTCAAGCTTAGTGAGTCTAACTCTTCTTGAGAAAGAGAGTCATATGACCCTAAAAGTTAACCCAACAAGGAATTGGGATGGACCCATGAAAATGGTAGTCCCAATTAACGGGTTAAACCTCGAAAGAGTAACTACCCTACTTGAGCCCTAGTTGCCCGGTCTAATTGGCCTACCTAATTGGTCTCGAGAGAGTCAATTGGGCAAAATCGTTCTCTCTACCGAGAGGTGTGAGAATGAGTGCAATTGTGCAACGGCTATAACAACAAACCCAGATTTATCAATCTTCCCTTAGTAGCTTCTACCCGTTATCTAGCCACCTAGGTAGTGTCACGACCCTAGTGCCTTTTCCTATATTAAGCACAACTTAGCAATATTCCCTTAGCATAATTTAGCTTTAATCCTTAGTTTACAATAGTAGTTTTAAATATAAAAACCCCCAAAAATGTTAGGAGTGCAATTAGAAGTACAAACGCAATTCTAGGCTAAACAGGCAATACAACTCCATTCCAATCTCCCTGTGGAAATTCGACCCCGATCCACTATTCGGGTATTAGTTATTGCTACCCACTCTTCCTACCATTGTGTAGTGTTGAGACGGACGCGATCAACTTTTTGGCGCCGTTGCCGGGGAGCTTACAGTGTTGACTATCTGTTTAGTTAGTTTTGTGCTTTGCTTCTCTTTCCTTCTTGTTTACTAATTCTGTTTGTGTCGATCAATCAGGTACTATGGCTCTCAATGCAAACGACCCTCTTGGCAACGTGAATGCGGGGGAGGAGGTAGANGATAACCCCAAGTCAAAGAAATACCAGCCACCCACCTCTGCCCCAACTGGCCAGTCCGAGGAGCCAGTTGCGGTAGCGCCTTCTGCTGGACCATCCTCCATCCCTGCCACTTCCACCAGTGAGCCCTTGCCCCCAGGTCCTTCTACTTCAGTTGACCCGGCAGTCCCTTCATCAAAGACTCATCGGTTCACTGCCCACCAGCTCAGTTAGTCTTTAGCCAGTTTGAACAACTGGATGTCAGCTGCGACATCCAAGTTGTCCACCTTGGCTACTACAGTTGAGGCCCAGTCAGCACCAGCCACTGTTCAGATTCCTCCTTCTATTGAGGAGACATTGAAGAAGCTCCTGGCCAACCAGGAGAAGATTTTGGAGACTCAGGCCACCTTGACTAAGGCGGTAGATTCGCATGGTAAGGCTTTGAAGGAGCTCGCCAAGGAACATAAGAAGATGAGAAAGTCAAGGGCGTCGAGGGAGTCAATGAAGAAGCTTCGAGCTGACGTGGACAAGCTATTGGCAGACCAGATGCCATTGGACTTGCTATTTGGGGACCCAACAGCATCTCAGCCAGAGCAGGAGGAGGAGCCTAGGCAACCAAGAAAGAAGAGGAAGCTTCCTAGCACTGAGGGTGTAGTGATCGAGGTAGCACAGGTTCAGGAGGGTCCCTCCAGTGTTGCACCGGATGCTCAGCCGGTCCATGTCCCAGACCCTGTCCCAGGAGCATAGCAGCAGCAAGCTGGGAACCAGTCTGAGGTTCCCACCAGTACAGAGGACCAGGGGACCACTGAGGAGCCCATGCAGACGGATCAGGCTTAGGGATCCTTTCTATATCCTTTTATCTTATTTTGTGCTTATTTGAGTAGTTGGCATTGGGGACAATGCCAGCTCTTATTCGTGGGGATGTGCCCTACCTTTTTGGATTATCTGGATGACTGTACATATTGGATTCTTATTTTATGTTTTGTTGCTTTGATTTTCTAGTTGGTCTGTATATAACTTCACACTCTAGCTACTTTTCTCGCACTTTTTATTCTCTTTTGCTCTGTATATAAAGTATTTTTGGTACATATTCATCCCTCATTGTATATTCTACTCCCCTATTGTACATATTCATTCGATTTTTCTATTTTCGCAAATTTTTTTTCATTTTTAGCTTAGTAGATAGGCTCGTAGCCTTTTGTTTTGTTTTTGGTGTTTTCAATAATCCCTTGGTTTTCTTAATGCCACGGTTCTTTCCAAGGGTAGAGTATAGGGTGAACCGGGTGGCTCTTCCCGATGATAGATGGAGTGACTACTTTCTTAAGGGTTTGAGTCTGTTTCTTTGATTTTTCTTTTGTTTTTGATGTTCCGTAGTTAAGGGTACCTCAGGCAAAGCTTCACTTGGGCCTAACACATTTGCCTTTGATCCCATGGTCAAAGACATAATGTTGTGTTTAGGGTGTGGTGAAAGTCGTGGATTTGAGACTCTTGCGTTGACCAAACAATCATCATGTGGTCTTTTTGGACCATTGTGCGCTTGAATCATGACTAAGGTCGTTGTGGCCCCTCGACTCGATATCTGTAGCAATCCCTTAGCATGTGTGGTGAGGAATAGAATTTTGAGTCCAAGTCCCAAGCCAATGGTCTAGAACTTGCCCCGAGTGTTTGTTGAGGCGAAATTATAGGTGAAGTTTGACTTGAGAAGTGACTATAGGCTCTCCTTGATTCAATTGTAAAATGAACAATTCCATGGCCTACCAATAAAATGATCCCTAGTTAACCCTTTTGAGCCTTAAACCTTCTTCTTTCATGAACCAATGTTACAAGCCTATACCCGTTTCTATCCTCTCTTGGCACCCACACTTCCCTTGAGTAGTGGCAAAGTCAAAGTTAGGGGGGAGAGAAAAGAAGGAAAACAAAAAGGGGAAAAGGTACTAAAGCAAAAAGAGAAAGGCAAAGCGATGAAAAAGAGAAAAAGAGAAAGACAAAAAGAAAGAACAAGGTGAAAAAGAATAAAAAGGGTTCAAGAAAAAAAGTGCAAAAGCCGTGGAAACAAAAGTAGAAAAAGGATAATTGATTTGAATTGCCTAAGAAAAAGTGACAATATGTCCCTTTAGCCTTTGAAAAGAAGTGGATTACTCAAATGAGTCAAGAAAGTGTGCCAAAATGAATCAAAGAAAGTGCTTAAGGGAAGATTGAACCCATTTGAACAAAACATGTCCTAACCTTACCCAAAAGCCCTCGCAATTGATTTCCCAAAAGCCCTATAGGATCTTGAGTCGAAGGGAACCCACATTAGTGGATACTTACATAAGGGTCAAGTATATGGTACCTAAAGCCGGACTTGTTACCTTCTTTGTGAGAGAAATGAGTGAAAGTCCTTCAAACCTCTATTTGTGTGTCAATACTCTAAAAGGTGAGGTTCGCTTAGGGAGAGTTGAGAATGTTTGAGTTTGGGTTCCACAATGACCAAGGTATTTGAGAAAAGCCCTTTGATGAAATATGTCAACCCTTGATGCTCTTTAGTCACACTTGATCCATAGTTTTCCAAAGCTCAACATGTGTTAATGATGCATTCGTATTGAGGGCAATTGTTAGCCCCAATTGATGCTTGTTGACGTTACTTTGCAAGAAATACCTCTGGAAACTCACGAACAACTGGTACTGAATCCATGGAAGGAACCCCCGCACAAGAATCACGGACATAAGCCAAATAAGCTAGACACCCCTTCTCGACCATATGTTGAGCCATCACATAAGTGATAACCCTGCTTATAGAATTGCCAGAAGTCCCTCTCCACTCTAATCGAGGGAACCCCGGCAAAGCTAAGGTCACCGTCTTGGCGTGACAATCCAATATAGCATGATAAGGTGACAGCCAATCCATACCCAAAATGACATCAAAATCAACCATATCGAGAAGTAGAGATCTACGCTAGTCTCAAGACCCCCAATGGTAACCACACACGAACGATATACACGATACACAACAATAGAATCTCCCACGGGTGTGGACACATACATAGGAGCACTCAAAGAATAACGAGGCACAACCAGATATGAAGCAAAATAGGATGACACATAGGAATTAGTAGACCCAAAAGAAATAGAACTGAGGCATCTCTACTGCAAACTAAAATCGTAGCTGTGATGATAGCGTCAGATGACTCAGCATCAGGCCTGGCTAGGAAAGCATAACATTGGGGCTGGGCCCCACCACTTTGAACCACATCCCTAGGACAGCCTCTTGCTGGCTTGCCTCCACCTCTAGCGGCCTGACCTCCACCTCTAACAGTCTGACCTCCACCTCTAGCGGCCTGACCTCTACCTATGGTTGCCTGACCTTGACGTCGCCAAAACTCAAGCCACAAATATAGGTAGTGAGGCAGTCGAAGCAATAATAAAACGCAACGCGAGTCAGGGTCGAATCCACAGGGAGTTAGAATTGGGATTAGGTATATATTTAGTGTAATTGTATGGTGTGCCTCAAGTTACACTTCCACATTCTTGTTCATTTTTTCTATTTCTACTCTAAGCTATTGATTGCAATTTTAAATTAAGAAGACAATATTTTTGGTTTTGGTTGTTTTTCAAATGATAAATGATGTAGGGCCGTGACTTCCACCTAGGTAGTTACCTAACGGGTTGTAAACTCTAGGAAAAGTTTGATTGGTCGGGGTTGTAATACAGCAATCACATGCAATTACTCACTCTATGCCTCTCGGTAGTTTGAGTGATTTTGCCCAATTCGGCTTTCTCAAGTTCAAATCGGTATTGCACAAAACAAGTGATATATTCTCAAGTCGGGTCTTACTATCTCTAGATTTGACCCTTTAACTGGGGCTATCAATTTCTTGAGTTCACCTCAATTTCTTGTTAGCCAAGTTTTCCTAGAATTAGTCTCTCTTTCTCAAGAAGAGACTAAGTCAATTAAGCATTAATCAATATTTGCAACCATTAATTATTGAATTCAAGCATGGACAAGGCTAAATATCACTAACCCAATCACAAACAAGCCATAAATCAAACACCCATTAAGTACCCACACTAGGGTTGGGCCACAACCCTAGTTAGAAATTTAGCTACTCATGATAAATGAAGAAAATAAAGAAGATATTAGGATAGAATGCATAATAATTTGTTAGGAAAAGAAAATCTAATGTTTAGAAGCTAACCTAGTACAATATTACTCAAAACAGTAAAGAAAACAGCTCAGGTGCTTGATAAGCTAGGATTTTACCATAATTATACCCCTTACGTGCTATTGCTTTTGTCACAATTCACCACAAAATAGTCCCAAAAGTCTTACAAGTTGCGCTTGATTGCAGGTTTGAGCGACAAGATGACACATGTCAAAGATCGGCTCAAAACGGAGTGAAACCTGCCAAGTGTCAAGAACAAGTGAAGTGGGGAACGGGAAGACCTAGCGCGGACCGCACTGATTTGCCACGCGGCCGTGATAGGAGATTCAGAGGGGTAAATTTTGAGGTGCAAGCCACGCGGCCGCTCTCCATTTCTGCGCGGTCCACGCAAAGGAAGTTCAGAGAAGGCTTAAATCCCACGCGGCCGCGCTACATATCAGTGCGGTCCGCGTGAAGGAGATTCAGAGACATGGAATTTTGGCCAAGTCAAGCTATGCGGCTGCGCCCCATTACTGCGCTGTCCGTGCCAACCCTCTGCCGCGGCCGCGGTACATTTGTGCGCGGTCCGCGACCCCCAATTTCAGAGATGAGTTTTTAGAGTTCAATGTGCCTAACGCGGCCGCGCGACCTTTTTGCGTGGTCCGTGCTGACCCCAGGAGTATTTTTGTCCAGAATTTCCAGCTTGGTATAAATAGATATTACCATTTTTAGGTCAACTTTTAGATTCTGAACAAGAGCTGCGCTCGTGAGAACTATTGTGTAGCCTATTTTGGCAATTAGTATTCAATCATTATGTTATTTTCTTCATCTATTTCTACTGTTTCTTCTTTAATTATGTCTAGCTAAACCCATTAGCTAGGGTTGTGGCTCAACCCTAGTATGGGTAGTTAATGGGTGTTGCAATCTAGGGTGAGATTGAGATTGGGTATTTGTTATTTGGGTTGATTTTGTATTTCAATCTAGAATTTGTGGTTGCAAACATGAATTCAAGCTTAGTGGGTCTAACTCTTCTTGAGAAAGAGAGTCATATGACCCTAAAAGTTAACCCAACAAGGAATTGGGATGGACCTATGAGAATGGTAGTACCAATTAACGGGTTAATCCTCGAAAGAGTAACTACCCTACTTGAGCCCTAGTTGCCCAGTCTAATTGGCCTACCTAATTGGTCGACAGAGAGTCAATTGGGCAAAATCGTTCTCTCTACCGAGAGGTGTGAGAATGAGTGCAATTTTGCAACGGCTATAGCAATAAACCCAGATTTATCAATATCCCCTTAGTAGCTTCTACCCGTTAGCTAGCCACCTAGGTAGTGTCACGACCCTAGTGCCTTTTTCCTATATTAAGCACAACTTAGCAATATTTCCTTAGCATAATTTATCTTTAATCCTTAGATTACAATGGTAGTTTTAAATATAAAAACCCCCAAAAAATGTTAGGTGTGCAATTAGAAGTACAAATGCAATTGTGAGCTAAACAGGCAATACAACTCCATTCCAAGCTCCTTGTGGAAATTCGACCTCGATCCACTATTCGGGTATTAGTTATTGCTACCCACTCTTCCTACCATTGTGTAGTGTTGAGACGGCCGCGATCAGTTCTCTCCCAAAACAAAACTTAACCTAAAATGACAAAAAGTTTTATTTATACTAAGCTAAAAACATCTAACGAAAATGCCCTTACGGAGGTTGTACGGCCGCACAATAATGTGTGCAGTCCGCACAAATAGACTTGGCTTGATAGGTTCCATCTCTGTGGCCGCACAATTCTGGATTGCAGCCCCACTCCTTCTTCTTGTGCGAACCGCACATTTATGAGTGCGGACGTACTCTTGCTTCTGCAGCAGCACAATAATAGTGTTGTCCATACTCCTTGACTTTGGACTTGAACCCAGCTCTCTGATTTCTCTTCTGCAGACCGCATATTTTTTAGTGCGGCTGCACAATTATGGTGCAGTCCGCATATCTTTAGCTTGCCCAAAACCAAATATCTGAATATCCTCTTCTACATCCACGCAATATTTGTGCGGTCCCCATACTCTGAAGAAAAACTGACATGGCTCTTTCCTTGTTTTGCCCGCACACAGTGTTGTGCGGTCCGCACTGTGGGACTTTTTGCCTTGTTTTGGTCTTTGTCCACTTTGACTCCTTTATGAGTTGATTTTAATTTCTTTCGCTCATATTGCAACACTCTTGCAAGCAAGCACATTTCATTAGTTTTCGGGAATGCCTTTAAGCATTTTTGAGCTAAAATGCAAGTATAAGAGAGCAAATAAGCGGTCAAAAATCCTACTTATCAACTCCCCCATACTTAATCTTTTGCTTGTCCGCATTCAATTAAGGCAATTACCACCTCCACTAGAAAAAGGGATATTTTAGCTGGCCTAAGGTGAATCAATCACATATCATTTGGGACCAACAGTTACCCACACCACGTACGAATTATAAACAATGCAATGGTTTGACTTTTTGAGTATAATAGTTCTAATGTGACACTAGAGCATCAAGAGTTGACATTATTCATCAAGGAAGCTCGCTCTTTCATGTAGGTCATTATGGATCCCAAACTCCTCCTCCTCTACTCTTCGTTAGCATATCTCACTTTAGAGTGTAATACTTGAATCAAGGATTGTGAAAAGTTCGCTCATCTCTCTCAAAAGAATGTCACAAGTCCGACTCTAAGTGTCATAAGCTTACCCCTCATGTAAATCACCACTAATGTAAGCTCACCCAACTTGAAATCATGTAGGGATTTTTCGGGATGTAATGAAGGCTATTTGGATCAAGGTAGGACTTGATGGAATAGAATGGGTTCATTATTCCTTAAGCACTCCATTTTCTCTTTTTGGCTCATACTTTGTCAACTCTTTGAGTCAATTTCTTTTTCCTCGGGGGAACTAGAGATACGTAACATCACTCTTTCTTGGTCATGACATTCAATTTTCTCCTTTTCTATTTACTCCATGCCTTTCATCATTGTTTTCTTTGAACTTTCTTTTTGGCATTTTTCTTTTTGTTCTTTCTTTCTTTTCTTTGCCTTACCTTTTATTCATTTCTCTCTCTTCTTTGTACCTTTTATCACTTTCAAACTCCTCTTATCTCCCCCAAACTTATGTTTTTGCCAATTGTTTCTCAAGAATGCTAAGGAAAGATTGGGTGACAAGAGAGGTTCATTACAAAACGGATAAAGGTTTGTAACGTGGTTATTGAAAGAAAAAGGGCTTAGGGTCAAATGGGTTAATTAGGGATATCACATTGGCAGGCAATGGAAGATTTCAAACTTCAAATCGGATCAAGAAGGGCCTACATTCATTTCTCAAGCCAAGCTACACTTAGAATTTTCCCTAGAAAAACATTCGCGGCAAGTTCTAGACTATTAGCACGGATACTTGGACTTGCAACTCAATACCTCACCTCTCACACTGCTGGATTGCTAAAGAGAACGGAGTCAAGGGCCCACAACAACCCTAGTTAAGATTGAGAATCAAAAATGGCTCGACTGAACCACTCGAATGACTGCGTAAGTCAACACAAGAGTCAAAAGGTCACAATTAGAGCTATTTTCTGCCAACAACTTGTTTTTAACCATAAGGTCATAGGTAAATGTGTTGGTACCAAGTGAAGCATGCTTGAGACCCTTTTATTAATTACTACTATATTTGCCTAAACATAAAAGAAAATAAACCCAATCCCTTAAGAAGGTTGTCACGCCATCCATCGTTGGGAAGAGCCACCCAGTTCACACAAAATCCACCTTTGGAAAGAACTGTGGCATTAAGAAAACCATAGGCTTATTTTTCACTCAAAATGAATCACCTTGATCATAACCACTATCATCTTGCATGAATTGTTTCGGACGGCTATGCATTTGTTGACCTTGTTGTCGTCTCTTGTTCATCATCATACTTACACCTTCCATCGCATTCACTTGTTTCGGCCCTTGAACTTGTTGAAGCTGAGCTTTGGCCTATTGGTTCATTGTAGTTGTCAACTCTACAATAGCTTGCCCATGATCATGTAGTTCATTGTGTAGGTAAATAATATTAGGGTCACCTTGCGGAACATTGGCTCTACTTTAACACATTGATGAGGTATCCGCCATCTCATTAAGAATTTCACAAGCTTCGGCATAAGGTGTGTTAATGAATTTCCCATCAGCGAGTTGATTTACCACACTTTGATTGTTGTATTGATCCCCCTGTAGAAGGTTTGTTGGATCACGGCCCTGATCATATCATTATTCGGGCACTCTTTGACCATGGTACGATATCTTCCCCAAATCTCGTGCAATGGCTCATTGGGTTCTTGCTTGAATGCAAGAATCCCATCCCGAAGTGTCGCCATATGTCCCGGAGAGAAGAATTTGGCAATGAATTTCTCCGCCAAATCATCCCATGTATGGATGGAATGATTGGGCAATCTCTCTAAATAGTCCAATGCCTTTCCCGGTAGAGAAAAGGGAAATAGCCTCAACCGCAGCGCATCCTCGGAGACATTTGTTTGCTTTCTCCCCCAACAAGTATCGATGAACCCTTTGAGATGCTTGTAGGCATTTTGACTCGGAGCCCCGGTGAAGAATCCCCATTACTCAAGTAGTGTGATCATCACATTAGTGATTTAGAAGTTGCCCACTCTAATACGGGGTGGGACTATAGTACTTGCATAACCCTCGTTCGGTAATTGTCGGTGAGTTGCTGCTCTTGGTGGAGGTGGGGGAGGGACGGGAATATTATATTGAGGTGGGCGTCCTCGTCTATTTGCTTGATGTTCAAGAGGAACCTAATCCATTTGGTCATCATCCACGTCCTTCCCCATTGGAAAACTCCCAATGGGCTCGTTGTTGAGAGCCACTGTCGCACCTAAAATCAATTCAAAAACAAAGTTAGCGACTCAGAAGGAAAAGAAGACAAATTACACAAAAACCTAGATATATAGCTAAATCCGTTTAATTCCCCAGCAACGGCGCCAAAAATTGATGTCGCCCAAACTCACGCCACAAATATAGGTAGTGAGGCGATCAAAGCAATAATAAAACCCAACACGAGTCGGGGTCGAATCCACAGGGAGTTAGAATTGGGATTAGGTATATATTTAGTGTAATTGTATGATGTGCCTCAAATTACACTTCCATATTCTTGTTTGTTGTTTCTATTTCTACTCTAAGCTATTGGTTGCAATTATAAATTTATAAGACAATATTTTTGGTTTTGGTTGTTTTTCAAATGATAAAAGAACTAGGATCGTGACTTACACCTAGGTGGTTACCTAACGGGTTGTAAACTCTAGGGCAAGTTTGATTAGTCGGGGATGTAATATAGCAATCACACGTAATTACCCACTCTATACCTCTCGGTAGTTTGAGTGACTTTGCCCAATTTGGCTTTCTCAAGTCCAAATGGGTATTGCACAAAACAAGTGATATATGCTCAAGTTGGGTCTTACTATCTCTAGATTTTACCCTTTAATTGGGGCTATCAATTTCTTGAGTTCACCCCATTTCTTGTTAGCCAAGTTTTCCTATACTTAATCTCTCTTTCTCAAGAAGAGACTAAGTCAATTAAGCATGAGTCAGTATTTGCAACCATTAATTCTTGAATTCAAGCATGAACAAGGCTAAATATCACTAACCCAATCACAAACAAGACCTAAATCAAATACCCATTAAGTACCCACACTAGGGTTGGGCCACAACCCTAGTTAAAAATTTAGCAACTCATGAAAAACGAAGAAACTAAAGAAGATATTAAGATAGAATGCATCAAATTGATTAGGGAAAGAAAATCTAATGTTTAGAAGCTAATCTAGTACAATATTACTCAAAATAGTAAAGACAACGGCTCAGGTGCTCTCCCAAAACAAAACTTAACCTAAAAAAGATAAAAAGTTCTATTTATACTAAGCTGAAAATATCTAACAAAAATGCCCCTACAGAGGTTGTGCGGCCGCACAATAATATGTGCGGTCCGCACAAATAGACTTGGCTTGATAGGTTCCATCTCTGCGGCCGCACTCTTTCTTCTTGTGCGGACCACATATTTATGAGTACGGCCGCACAATTATAGTGTGGTACGCACTCCTTGACTTTGGACTTGAACCTAGCTCTCTAATTCTTCTCTCTTGCGGACCGCATAATTTTGAGTGCGGCCGCACAATTATGGTGCGGTCCGAATATCTTCAGCTTGACCAAAACCAACTCCCTGAATCTCCTCTTCTGCAGCCACACATTATTTGTGTGGTCCACATACTCTGAAGAAAAACTGACATGGTTTTTCTCCTTGTTTTGCGGCCGCACACAGTATTGTGCGGTCCGCACTGTGGGCCTTTTTGCCTTGTTTTGGTCCTTGTCCACTTTTGACTCCTTTATGAGTTGATTTTGATTTCTTTGGCTCATATTGCAACACTCTTGCAAGCAAGTACATTTCATTAGTTTTTGGGAATACCTTTAAGCATTTTTGAGCTAAATCGCAAGTAAAAGAGAGCAAATAAGCGGTCAAAAATCCTACTTATCATACCCCTACCTCTAGCTGGGTGAGCGGGCGGTGGTGCACCCGATGCCGGAATCATGGCACGAGAACTCTGCTGTGGCGTACCGCCCAATAATCTCGGACAGATCCTCCTGATATGCCCAAAATCGACACACTCAAAACATCCATCCCGGTGTTGTGGCTACTGAAACTGAGGCTGACCCGAAAGGGTCGGATGACCACGGTAATAACTTTGAATAGGAGGTGCACTGATAGGAGCTGGCGGTGCACTGTAGGCGGGCTACCTAGAATGAGGCACATAAGGAACACGACTCCCTAAAACGCTGACTGATATGGCCTGGGAGGATGACCCCTACCAAAAGTACCCCTGCCTCCGGATGAGG